GTGGCGGGACGCGAGGCGCAGCCGGCCGCCCCCTCGCCGCCCCAGCACAGCAGCGCCGCGCGTACGGGACGGGAAGGGAGAGAGAGAGAATGTGTTGATTCAGGCGACATTGTTCGCAGAGCAGGCGCGGGGCCCAACGCACACGCACACAGACCGACACACACACGAACGCACCACAACACGCCGCTGTAAAATCGCACAGCCCAGCGCATTCACCGTGTTATAAAACGTTCGTTCCGCAGGCTTCCGTGGGGGTAACACACCAACCACCACAACCAGCCTTCGAAGAGCCCCCTCCTGTCCGTTCACGTTGTCAACTAGCTCAGCTGGCGATCGCAATGGAGGGCTAAACTGTAAGAAGAGAGATATATCCCCCCCCTGTGCGGGGATGGCTACCACGTAGAGCCGGACTAGGCGCCGAGTGCGTCGGGGTTGACGACACCAGGACGCCGATAGGCTCACAGACCACCCCCGCGCTCTGCTCGTAAAGGGCGAGGGCGCGCGCCCCAGGGAGGGGTTGGGGGAGGGTGGGGGCGGTACAAGGAGGGGCGGCGGCGGCGACGCGGAGGCTGCCAGACTCCAGACGGACAAAGTGCGCCGTTTCGTTATTTGGCAGACGAGACGGACGAAACGAGACGGACGGTAATAACGACCTGTTTCTCTGGGGGTGAGTCTGTCGCGTCGGTGCGCCGCCCGTCGGGTCATCGCCCTCCCCCCCCCCCTCCACCCCCGCGTCCTGCGTTATCTGCGAGCACCTGGCCGAGGAGATCAGACGAGGAGGTGCGAGCAGCATCCAGCACATGGGGGGCCGCCCTGGAGGAGCGAGGGTGGGCCGACAGTGGGGTACGCTTACCACGGCACCTTGACCGCTATGGTAAAGCTACCCCAACAGACCACACCTACACCAGTGGTTGAACAAAGCCTGGTGTACAGCAGCACACGAGGAGTATGAAGCGCCGTGGAAGCAGTACCCTCCCCCACCTCCGACGCCGGGGTGCTTTCCTCATATGACGCCCCCAGGCGCTGCTCGGGTGACTCGGAGCCGAGCTATTTCCAGCAGCGGCAGCAGCAGCAGCCCCGTGCGCCGCGCGTGGCCCGGCGGCCTGCAGCCGCCCCAGCGCCCCGCGGCACCCCGCGGCCAGCCCGCGGCCTTCAAGGTCAAGGCCCGCGCTGCAGTGGTCGATCGCGGCACCCACCCGACACCACCCGCGCGCGAACGAGTGCCACAGTACTCTGTCCGCTTGTAGTCATGACGCTCCACGTATACGCATCAATGATGGTCTCAATATGTTTATA